TCATATGACTCATAATTTTTCTTCTCTTAGTAATTGTGCCTTACCCTCTTCTCCTATAAATATTGTTATAGCTAATGGTTCTCCAATGCAAGTTGCTTCTGTTAGATCTGTCATTCTCTCTTTGTTCTCCTCTCTTTCTATCCCAAATGTTTTTTTATGTTTCACAATTATCTGTTAGTCTATTGTTGATTAGTCAACTCTTTGATTTAGGATTTGATGTTGTATTTTCTTCTTATGGTTGTGTTGTTTAGGATCAGAAGTCCAAGTGGCAAATTGGGACCATGCATAGAGCTAGTGACTTATACATTCTAGTGCACTTACATATTCTTCTGGAGTCTGGTTCTCCCGAGTTGTCTTCCTTTTGTTTACAAAATAATTCGTCTTAATTTTATTTGTGGCATTCTAGATTAAGGTCATTTCTCTAGTGAGTGTATAAAAAGTTTAATTTCCTCTGGTATTTTGGTCAATGTATCTCGAAGTGATATCTCTGCTTGTAGTGGATGTATACTTGCCAAGATGTTTGTTTTACCTTTTAATAAAAGAGCTTCTTTGTCTAGTTCGCCTTTTTCTCTTGTTCATACTCATGTTTGGGTACCTACCCCCATTTCCACTAAAGGTGGCTCTACATATTATGTTTCTTTTATATTATAGTCGTTATTGTTGGATATATTTGATGACACATAAATCTGATTTTTCTCAAATTTATCGCAATTTTTATTTCATGATTCACACTCAGTTTTCTACTAATATAAAAGTTCTTCGATCTGATTTAGGTGGGGAATATTGGTTGAAAGACTTCACTGACTTCCTAGATGTATCTGACACTATTCATCAATCATCTTGCTCAGGTACCCCTGAACAAAATAATGTTGCTGAACGTAAGCATAGACATATCCTTGAACTGCCCATGATTTCTTGCTTTCTGCATTTGTTCCCTCTGTCTTTTGCGGTAAAGTTGTTCTTACAGCGGTTTATTTATTAAATCGTATGCCCACCCTACTTCTATCAAGTGCTTCTCCTTATGAAAAGTTGTTTGGGAAACTTCCCAATTATTCTCTTCTTCGTGTCTTTGGTTCAACCTGTTTTGTTCTTCTTTCTAAGCGTAAGTGAAGTAAATTGAGTGCTCATTCTATTTTATGTGTTTTCTTGGGGAATTGTATTACTCAAAAGGGATATCGGTGTTATGCTCCTGTATCTAAAAAGTTGTATGTCTCTCGGCATGTTGTTTTTCTTGAGTGCATGCCATATTTCTCGATTCCTTCTCAAATAGCCCCTGTTTCTAGGGATGAACTTGTGCGTATTGACCCTTTTCCCTTGGATGATTCTTATAAAGAGTTTATCCCCCCTCTTGATGTTTCTGAACTTCATTCTTCAGTTAATGCTTCTTCTTTATCTTATTCTTCTCATCCTTCTGTTACCTCGCCTTATTCTTTGGTCTATTCTTGAAAACAATTACATCTTCCACATTGTGTGAGCATCAACTTTGACAGACCCATGATTCAATGGACTCTGCTAAACCTGAACGACGGTATCCTATTCGCACTTGCAATCCACCTACAAGACTTGGTTTTGCTTATACTTATTTTTTTCCTTTTTATCATGCTTTTCTTACTTCCATTCATTCTTCTTTTGAACCTCAGTCTTATAAAGAGGCTTGTACTGATCCTAATTGGATTAATGTAATGCAGGATGAATTGGTTGCTCTTGATAAGGCTAGTACTTGGGATTTAGTTCTTTCGCCTGTAGGTAAAAATGTTGTAGGTTGCAAATGAGTTTACAAGGTTAAGACTCATTCTGATGGCTTCCTTAAGCGTTATAAAGCTTGGTTAGTTGCTAAAGGTTTTTTCAAGAATACGGTATTGAATATGAGGAAACTCTTGCTCCTGTTGCCAAAATGACTTTTGTTCGTACTCTGAATTTTTGAATGGGTATCTCAATAAAGAGGTTTATATGCGCCCACCTCCTGGTTTTTCTCATCCTACTGGTTATGTGTGTCACTTGCGTCGGGTTTTCTATGATCTAATGCAAGCCCCCAAAGCTTGGTATGAATGTTTTCAATCTATTGTTACTCGGATTGGTTTTGTTTCTAGTGCTCACGATGCTGCTTTACTTGTTCATCGTTCTACACATGGATTAATTCTTCTCTTATTATATGTGGATGATATGATTATCATTGTCCCGATATTGTTGTTATTGACAAAGTGAAGCACCATCTTTTACTTGAGTTTGAAATGAAGGATTTGAGTCCTCTACATTATTTCTTGGTTATTGAGGTTACTTTTTCTCCTAAAGGCTACTTGTTATCACTGTCTAAGTATGCCAATGAGTTTATTCACTGCAACAACTTAACAAATGATAAGATTGTTGCTACTCCTATCGAATTAAATGCCAAATTCTCAAGTTCTGATGGTGTTCTTCTTGATGATCCTACATTGTATCGTGAACTGGTTAGTTGTTTGATTTATCTTACCGTTACTTGCCCAGATATTGTATATGCAGTTCATATTTTTAGTCAATTTGTCTCTATTCCTCATACTACTCATTGGGCTGCCTTACTTTGCATTTTGCGTTATGCACGCGACACTATGTTTCAGAGCTTATTATTGTCGTCAACCTCTTCTCAGACTTTACATGCTTATGCTGATGCTAATTGTGCTAGGCATAGTACTGATCGCAAGTTTACTACGGTTTTTGTATTTTTCTAAGTGATCCTCTTATCTCTTGGAAGAGTAAGAAACAATCAGTTATTGCTCGTTCTACTGCTGAGGCTAAGTATCGTGTTATGGCACACACCACTACGGAGATAGTTTGGCTTCGTTGGCTTTTAGCTGATATAGGAGTTGTTCTATCTCTCTTACTCCTCTATATTGTGACAATAAAAGTGCTATCCAAATTGCTCATAATTTAGTATTTCATGAGCGCACAAAGCATATTGAAATTGATTGTTATTTTGTTCGTCAACATCTTTAGTTGGACATTGTTACTTTACCGTTGGTATCTTCTTCGTTACAGATTGTAAATTTTTTTAACAAGTCTCACATTTTAGTTCGTTTTCGATTCTTACTTGGCAAACTCTCGATGCTCTTCGGGCTTGCATCATGAGTTTGAGGGAGGTTGTGAGAGTGTATATAAGTTTTATAATAGGGTATATTTGTTTTTTGGGTAGTCTAAGGTTTTTCTAATTTTCTTGGGCTATATATATTTTTGTAATCTAGTTTATTGATATAATAGAAAGTATTATTTGCATCCAATAAAACTTTCATCTATAAATCAGAATTAAAAAATTTTGGTTGACGGTGATGGTGCACTATTTGAAAATTCAAGTCGGTATCGCAGATTGGTTAGGAAATTTAATTGTCTCACTACTATTGCACTATATATTTTATATTTTGAAAGTCTTGTAAGTTAGTTTATGGAAACACCTAGAATACCACATTGGGATGTTGTTGTTCATATTCTTCGATATTTATTAAATAGGCTCCAGGACTTGGGTGGCTGTATAGATTGAATAGACGTTTTAGAGTGGATGGCTTCACAAATGCAGAGGGCTGGATCTACCTCCAATTGAAGGTCTTTTATTGGATATTGTACTTTCTTTGGGGGCGATTTGATTTTGTGGAAAAGTACAAAGCAAACTGTGGTGGCACAACCCAGTGCAAAAGTTGAGTATAGAGTAATGACACATACTACGAGTGAACTAAGGTGGTTGTAACATTTCCTTCAGGAGATCAACTTCCCAGCTCAACCTCTCTCCATTTATTTTGCGATAGTCAAGCAACACTCCATATTTATGCCAATTCAGCATTTCATGAGATGACTGATCACATCAACGTTGATGGCCATTTTATTTGGGATAAGATATTAAGTGGAGATATTGTGACACTATTTGTAAAAGCCACTTGCAGTTATGTTTACCAAAGTGTTTTGTGGGGCATTTTTTCAGCTATTTGTTCAATGCTTGAACTATGTGATATATATTCTTTAACTTGAAGGGGAGTGCTAAAAATATTAAAGTTATTTATTTTATATGTTGTAATAATAAGCATAACCGTTTATGTGTATACTCGTCTTTTATGTTTCATTGTATACCTATAAATATTAATTAATATTGCGAGGTAGGGCAACTGTTCTTTCTTCTCTTACCCGGTTCTTTCGCAATTTCTTCTCTGTAGTAAACCTAAACTTTTATATACCAAAAATCACCATACACTTTACAGTTATCAAATGTGATGATATTGTACTAATATAAAATCGTTAAAGCATTACACAAATTTAATTTTGAAAACAAAAATAACTAAAATTGAAATTTAAAACACTGAACTTGTGAATAAAAAATTGAATTTGAAAAGAATATAAAAAATTAAAGGACAGTGCATCATGGTCTCCATGCACACCAAGGAGAATGAGAAAGGCCACTGTATAGTGCATGTTTCAATATCCATTACCGAGCATATGCTTTTGCTCATAACTCAAAAAATGAAATGTCTGCCACAGAATATTCTAATGGCTTTACAATATAATTAAGAACATTTATTGTAGAGTAAAATAAAATCATCTAAGCCACCATTGATGCACCTATAAAAGTTCATTCATATGTTTGCATTAGATGCTATGTTTTGGAACTGATGAACTTTGCAATGGATACACTCATTGATGTGAGATAAAAGTTATAGATCATATGAATGGAAAAAAATGTTAAGTTCATGAATCTAATTGATTTAAGATTAAAGGGAACATCAAAAGATATTAGAGGATATGTTTGCCTCTGTAAGTACTGTCCAAGTGTAAAATTGAAAAATTAAACGTTTCCTCAATTAGCTAACATTTATGGGTAGTATAGTTATGTTAATCTAGATTCAAGGAGCATTTACTAAGATCCAGAGGAATGTGTTTCTTTTTCTGCTTTTTGATGGTGTTGGTTGCAGAGTTCACTCTGAAGTATGATGAGTATTTAAGCTCCGAGGTTCTCCAGTGCAGGTTTTTCCGGGAAGGTTCAGAAAATGTTTGAGGACCGTAGCATGCACATCACCCGCCTTCTCTTTTGTGGGCCTCATTGGCCTGCCTCTCAAAATTATACGAGAGAATATTTGCAAGAGTACCCATTTATCCAGGTTCTTCACTGTGTTTCATTATTTCATTTATTAATTTTGGTCTAAAATTGAATCTGAATTTAATTTCTCATGGACTATTGACACATGTTCTAAGATCTAAGATGTACACCCTGGTGAGTGTTCTTCTGAACAAGTTGAAACCACTTTTTCAATTGTAGATTTGCTCAGCTCTAATCCATTGAAACCGGACGTTTCTTCTAGTTATGAGTATTGTGATTCTTGCAGCTCCACATTTTGCTTTTGCTTGAGATATTGTAATCCTAACAATTTGGATTGGGGAGAAGTATAGGTTACTTGAGTGTCTGACAAATTTGAGGCATGGATTGGGTCTCAGTGGGGAAGCCATTTGAATGGGATTGCACAGCTTCATGAAATTTATAGACACTAAATAGTACAAGATTTTAAGTTTTATTCTTATTAGTTATAAAAAATTAAAAACCAAAGATATGAAAGAACTAATAGTCGTATTAATTCATATTGATTTTTCTTTGAAGAGATTACAGGTATTGATTGTTTTGAAATATTACATATGCTTCTTCATCCTTAGTAGTTTGCTCCCTTTTTGGACACTTTTGGCTCCTAAAGATATCATGAACTGTATATGCCTTTTAAGTAATTTTCAAAAGGAATCTTGACTCCTCCAAATGGGATAATTTTGGTGGATGATATAATGAGTTTAAATTTTTGTATAAGTTTGATAAGTTGGTGGTAAGCTTGCAAAATTATGGGTGAAAAATGACACTAGAGTTAAACTTTTGTCTGATTTGATGTTATATTTAGAATAATGACTTCCAGAATTAGTGTTCCTTTCAGATATCTTTGAAAAGCTCACTTGAGTCTTCAAGTCAATTTGTTAAATCAAAAAATATGTTCTTATCCTTTTGGGGTTGACTCAACAGCATATTATCAACCTGTATTTCAAAAACCTACACATAACCGTGTTAAAGTTCTTAAGTAGAACTTTTAGGATTTTTACCACTCAGCCTCTTCGAAAGGGCAGCACACGCCCCCAAAAGTGCACTGGTTGTGTGTTGGTGTAGGGGAAGTTATTTGTCAACAAAATTTGTATGTCTAATGACCAAAATGTCCCTGTCTAAAAAGAGCTTCTAGCCTTTGAAATTGAAGGGTAGGTCTCATATTTTGTGGTTAGAGAATCATGTATGGAGAAAAAAGGGAAGAGAGAAAGACGAGGCAGAAGAATTGAAAGACAGTAACAATGTTGAACCTATATCAATTTTAATTCCCATCACCCTGTGGCACAAACACATGCCTCATCATTCCAATTTCAAAATCAAACCCATTTCAATTTCTATTTCAAGCTCAAACTAATTCAGGACTCCCACTTGGCAGTATTTTAAATTCAAGCTCAAAGACATTTTAAAGAAAGAATATGAAGACTCAGAGAACCTCTACGTCATATATTTTGTATGTATTTGTGTATAAATATATGTATGGTATATAGAAACACATGCAACATGAGTTTGTGTGTGTCAGTGAGAGAGAGAGAGAGAAAGAGGGAGGGGGGGGGAGGGGAGAGAGATATATGGGGTTGAATTGTTTGCTGTACTTCTAGTTTTTTGGTTGAATCAGGCTTTGGATAGCCAATGGGCAGTGTTCAGTGCTATGAATTTTTTAGTCGCATCTTCTATAGACCTACCAGAGCAGCAAAGATATCACCTGACACAAACAATTCACATATGCTGAGATTTTCTTTGTAAGTGGAATTGGCCTTGTGCCAGTTCATATACTGAGAAGTTGTATATTTGTTCCTAGGTTGATGATGTTCCATTAGATGATGTGCCTGATGTCATCAAAAACTATGATATGTGTGTAGTAAAAAGCATGCGGCTAAATGCAGATGTTATTTCTCGTGCAAATCGGATGAAACTTATAATGCAGTATGGCGTTGGATTGGAAGGTCTGTTTTCTTTTTTCTGTCAGCAACATTAATGTAAACATTATGCTTTCTTTCCAACATGTAATGATGTCTATTTTCTTTTGTGTACTTTTTCTGTCTTATCATCTGTATCATCTTTACATCAAGGTGTTGATGTCGGTGCTGCGACAGTGCATGGAATTAAAGTTGCTAGAATTCCCGGGGACATAACTGGAAATGCAGCTTCATGTGCTGAAATGGCCATATATCTGATGTTGGGTCTTCTTCGTAAGCAAGTTGGTTCATTTGAATCCATTAGATCAGCTTAGTTTTGTACATCTAGTTTACTGTATAAATTCCAAAGAATCTGATTTGTTTCTTTTTTTGCTTCCATCTGTATGAAGAAATTGAAAATTAATAAATTTGAAGAGACTAGCAGATGGGGTTAAACTGATCTGCACATATCTGTTGTGCAATGTCTCCTCTAGACATTCCAGATTAACATGAGTGGTGGAGTGTGCCCGACAAAAGTTAATTCTTAGACACCTGTATAGGTGATGTTTGTTTTTACTGCTCTCTTTCATTGATTATAGTACTATTTCGTAGTGACTTTTTATACAGATTGCCATTATCTGGCTAAGATGTACTTATCAGTTCACTATTACATGTGCGAGACAGCGAGAGAACATAACATTATCCTTACTTTACTGTAGGCTAAAATGAGCTATACGTTTGGGCAGTTGAAACTTAAACAATTTAATATTAGGGTTTTAGGATGAGGACGGGAAGAAGAAGGAGAAGGGAAAAAAGAGAGGTTATGAAATAGTATTGTGTGTAGGATGTGAATAGCCAGCACCCTATCACCTATCTATATGAGATTGATATTGAAGACAATTACAATATCGCCTTACACTAGAATATTCTTAATAATAAAGACAATAGGAAAGTAAAATTCTAACACTCCCCCTTAAGCTGAAGTATATAGATAAAAAATGTCCCCCTTAGAACAAAGATTACTGAAGGTGGACTGCTCCAATTGATTGGGAGTAGGCTTATCAATGGATTGAATTTTAATACAAATCCAATTTGTCAGATATGGACAGGCAATTCTTACTGATAATCCAAATCCGAATCCGAATTCATTATAATAGATTAGACAGATTTGGATTGGGATCTATTAATATCCGATCCATTAATAATACGATTAGAATTATATAAAACATATATATAACATTTTGGCTACATATACACCGTTAGATCTGCCTTTACTTTTAGCCCTGAAAAGGAATTTCTCCCCACATATCTCTTCCATCGTTTTCCCTTCCTCTAGCTATGGCGTCCCTTTGTCCTGTCCGTCTTTTCTCTCTTTTAGAATCTACCTTTCTCTCTTCTTCTACAATCAAAATTAGTTGATAGAAAGATATTGAGGGCACTTGGATATCTCCTTCTTTGTTGCATCTCCTGTGAAAGGAATAATGTGAAACTCATTCCTTACGGATGAAGACAAGCAGTTTCAACCTCAACGGCAGGGTTTGTTATCTTCTTAGGTTGCATTTTTCATTTTTTTCTACGTATTTGTGACCTTTTTCGCTTTGGAATTTCTGCAAGCAATGACCTATTTTTCTTTTATATTTTCTACTTTATATACCTTAGGTAAAATGTTATTCAGATTTTTTTGTGTGTAATTGTTTTATGAATTTGAGGTGAAATTAAAGCTACTTTTGAAGATAATAGGCAAAGTTGAGCTAAGATTGAATTGCAATTGATAGATTTTTTTTAGCAAATTTGAACTGTAATCATTGATTATTTGGTGAAATTAATGAAATTAGAATTTTGATGAATTTGGAAAGAAAAGCGGATTGGATCGAATTTTTGGGCTAGATGTCCGATATTTAATGGATTCAGATGTGGATCAAAAATTTCAAATCCCCCAGATTAACGAATCAGATCGGATTTTATAAATTATAATTGAATTCAACTTCGGATATAGTATAATTCAGTTCATATCTGTTCTATTGACAGACGTACTTGGGAGTAATATCATCGAGTTGATCACCGGACTTTACATAAAGAGTGATAATCTCCTTTCACATTGATCTATCACAAATAATGTGACAATCAACTTTGATGTGTTTCATACCATCGTGAAATAGTGGATTACTAGTGATGAAAATGATTGTCTGGTTGTCACAATGCATCTATATAGAAGACGACATATTAACACCCATCTCATGAAGTAAAAAACGAGCCCATAGCATCTCACATGCAATATGAGCCATGTCACGATATGCAGCCTCCACACTATAACACGCCATCACATTTTATTTCTTACCGCACTAAATAACAAGACTACAATTAACAAATGTACAATAACCTGTAGTAAACCATTTATCAACATGATTGCCCTTTTAGTCTAGTTAGCATTGGAAAATCTAGTAATAGTTAAGGATAGTGGCGGCTGATATAACAATCCCCTACCTCGCACTCCTTTCAGATGTTGAAGCATCCGACATACAACTTTTCAATGAGGTTTACGAGGACTATGCATGCACTAACTAACAATAATAACAACATAACTAATGTTGGGTTGCATAACTGGGAGATAAATCAACTTGTCTACTAACCTTCGATAATGCCTCATGTCCTCGAAGACATTTCCCCTTTCAGTATCCAATTTAATGGTTGGATCTATTGAAGTCTCAACTAGACGTGCACCAAGGGTACCAATTTAAAAGAGTAAACCTAACACATACTTTCGCTAGCACAAATTAATACCTTGTGTAGATCGGACTACCTCAATTGCAAGAAAGTATCGAAAGAGACCCTAGTCTTTGGTATGGAATTATCTTTTCAAATAGGCTTTAAAGTGGGCAATATCTGGAGCTGCTTGCTTGGATGCTTCTTGTGCTACGGGATCTATCTTGATAAACCGCCATTCCATTTTTTATTGAGCTAGATGTGGAATCACCATCATTTCTTAGTTGGAGTGTTGCATGCTAGCCTTGGCATCATTGAAAAAGAAAACATTGTCAATATTTTAGAGGGAATACAAAGATCTGTTTGCTTGGACTTACAGTGAGATGCTTGGTTTATATACTGATCTAAGTCAATACTATTGACAGAAATATCATCGATATAGACAACGAGAACAATGACACCTGTGGTGGATTGATGTGTGAACATAGTCCAAAGAACTAAAGGGCATTGTCAGATCGAATAACTTTAATATGCTTATCAAATTGTACTATAATTTCATTATAAGAAGTAGAAAAAATCTTTGGCAATTCATATCAATCTTTTATAAGAAATAACCAAGTCATATGAGAGAAGTCATCAACAAAGATTATAAAATACTAAAATCAGAAATATTTTTTACTCTTGCAGTACCTCAAATATTCGAATGAATCAAAAGACTAAACTAACGACTTGTAGAACTAGAAGGAAAAGAACTATATTGATGCTTGCCTAATCAGCAAGCTTCACATTCTACCATAGAAGAAACACTTAAACTAGGGATAACTTGACGCAACTTCTACAAGGATAGATAACCCATTCAAAAGTGCCACTGGAGGGGGGACATTGTAGCACTCAAGGCAAGAACCAAACCTCTGGGATCCAAGTTGTAAAGGCCGATGCGCTCATATCCCAAGCCAATTACTTTCTTCGTCTTGAGATCCAGAAAAACATAAGAATATGGAGAAAATGTTAGTGAAAACTATAAGGACTTAGTTAATTCATTCACAAATAATAAGTTGAGGGAAAAAATTTGAAACAAATAAATTAAAGATTAATGACAAACTTAGTAGAATGAAAATTGTCAATCCCATATGTTGATCATAAAAACCATCGGTTAACATAATATAGTAGTCAAGGATGGAAATTAGAGAATATGGAAAAAATAATAGACATATGAGCACTAGTTCTTGAGTGAATGATCCAAGAGGAAGAAGAAGGTTGGGCAGCCACGTGTTGTGTTAGCTGGATTAGCAAAATTGGTAGTAAGAGTAGACAAATGTGGAAAAAGTGAAGATAACTGGTAGATAAACTAATTAAGGTGAGAAGACAGGGCATCATGCAGAACATTAGTAGATATAACTGGACTATCAGAAGAAGCTTGATGCACTAGAGAATTTGAAGAATGGAAATTAGAGAATAGGGAAAAAATAATAGACATATAAGCAGTAGCTCTTGAGTAAATGATCCAAGAGGAAGAAGAAGGTTGGGCTGCCACATGTGTAGGTGCTAAATGATACAAAGAGGCGGTATTCCGCGCATGAAAAGGAAATGACTGTAGTCATTCACTGTCAATGCGTGGAGGCATTATCTGATGGGAAAGTATTTCCTAGTCTTGACCGACCTTGTGGCTACCGGCTGTTTCAATTCCATGAAGAAGTTGACACCGAAACAGGCAAGATGGCTGCACTTTCTTGTTCAGTTCAACTTTACTTTTTAGTACAAGCTTGGTAGTGCGAATCAAGTTGCTGATGCACTTAGCCGAATCTCAGTTGCTGATGAGATCGCACTTAGCCAGATTGTTGGGGATATGTTACAAAGGGTCCAGGATTAAATGCAGGTTGATCTCGTGACCAGTTTGCTGTTGAAGCAAGTCTAAAAGGGTGAGATTGTTTTGGGTAGAGGATGGTGTGCTCTATGCCAAAGGAAGGAGGCTCTATATTTTGAAGTCAGGTGGACTTCGACAAATGTTGCTAAAAGATATTCACGATGCTTTATAGCCAGGAACGAACTCTTGCTTTATTGGTGGAAAACTATTATTGGCCCAGTATGGAAGTAGATGTGGAGCTCTATATGCACACTTGTTTGGTGTGCCAGGATAAAACAAAAAGGAAAAAGATGGCAGGTACTTTAAAGGCTCTCCCCATTCTGAGCAGATCTTGGGAAAGTGTTTTCATGGATTTCATCCATGAGTTACCTAAGGTGAATGATTTTACTTTGATCTTTGTGGTGATTGACAGATTTTTGAAGTATGCTACCTTCATTGCTACTCCAAAAATGTTATGTTGAAGTTACAACTCAACTGTTCCTCAAGCACATTGTAAAGTTTTGGGGTCTTCTGCTAGATATTGTCAGCGACAGAGACACTAGATTTATTGGCCGATTTTGAACAGCCTTGTTCGAGTTGTTGGCCACACAGCTCAACCTCTCCACTAGTAATCATCCACAAATTGATGGTCAGACTGAGCGGGTAAATGCAATTCTGGAGAAGTATCTCAGGCATTATGTCACAGCGAACCAACAGAATTGGGTGGATTTACTTGATGTTGCTCAATTCAGGTGCAATTTGTAGCAAAGTTCCTCCACCGAGATAAGTCCATTCAAGTTGGTTATTGGCCAATAGCCTCTTACTCCACATGAGATGGCCAAGTAGAAATCTCAAGGGAGATGTTTTGCAGCATATCGCTTTACTCAAGCTAATCCAAAGAGAACCGACGCGGCGAAGGACTGCTTGACAAAGACAGCGACAAGGATGAAGAAATGTGCAGATGAGAAAAGGAGGGCAGTGAAGTTCGATGTCGGTGAGAAAGTGATGGTCCAACTTACCCACTGATTTGGAAGATCATTCAAAAGTCTGCACACAAGGGATTGATCCAGCATTATAACGGTCCTTTTCTTGTCACAAGAAGGATTGATAGATTAGCCTATAGGTTGGATCTTCTTAGTCGTCTCAAGTTACATCCGATTTTTCATATTGCATTTCTAAAACTGTACGTTGAGGACCAGAACGACTCAAGCAGATATGTTCGGTGTTGGGCTCCTCCAACAATTAGGAAGCAATTCATAGAGGTGGCAGAATCTATCATTGACCACAAGACTTGGAGAATGAGAAATAAAAATAAAAGGACTCATTACCTTGTCAAGTGGAAAGGGAAAGCACTGAAAGAAGCTAACTAGGAGAAGGAGATGACATTGTGACAGTTTGAGGATCTTATCAAATAGTACCATGCTACCCTTCCAATGAGGTCGTTGGATACTTCAGGTGGGGGTGACTTGTTACACCCTAACTGACTTAGTGCACAAAGGCGGGTTTTGGTGGCACTTTGCACCAAGACACGCCATGGTTTGGAATCAAGGTGATGAGGTTAAGTGGTTCGACAGATTTGTGTGGATCGTGGTGGCATTAGATCACCTGGCTAAGCATGGCAGCGCGCGGTGGGCTCAATTGAGCCAATGTTGGTGCATGGTTTCGAATTGCATGACATGGACTTGACCTAACATGCATACTGGTTCGTGGGTACGGTTGATTGCTGAATTGTAGGCACATGGCTGACATATGACCGCTCAATCCATGTGACCAGGAGGATGTGGGCAGTTGTCGTGCATGACTTAGTCAAATGCTGGGCATGACCTAGTCTGAGGGAGGCAGTTATGGGCATTTTTAGCCACATTTTGGTCCAGGTACATTTAGAAAAAAAGACAGTTCCACATCAGGTGTTGAAATGGTGGAACTTCATGTCAGGGGTCGTGCAGAGAGGCAGCCTTGCCTACCAAATATGCTAGAGAATAGACAGACTGTTGTAAAAGCCCCTTGGCTGATAGGGGTGCCATTTGCCATGCTCTTGTATAAATAGGGGTGCCGGGACATTCTGGAAAGACAAAGTTCTTGTTTAAAGTTGAGCTTTCTTGTAATTGTAGAGAGCTTTAATATGAGGTTTGTGAGTGTTTTCCAATAAATTCGTGTATTGCCCTTGTGTGAGTTTGTGTCCCTATATTTGAGTTTGTGACTGGTTACTGTGGCAATGTCTTTACATAGCCTCAAAAGTGAAAAAAGAGTAGTTACCCCATGACAGGAAGTCACATATCCGTGAAACCTGTGCCAAATTACAGGTACGTCCAAGGATGAGGTCACATTAGCTTTATTTTGGTCCCTTTAGATTTATTTTGGTGAGTGGATGAATGGAATAGGAGGGATTTTGAGATTACATTGATGCGTAAGGATAGGTTAAAGCAATCGTATGTTTTATTTTTTTGGATGAAGGGTTTCTACCATTTGAGCTTAAGTGTCATTCCTTGAATTTTAGTGGAGATGGGCCATCTTAGTTGTATAGGCAGGGTTCTTACATTGTAATTGAGTAATTGAGAGATGCTCCCTTAGAGTCCATATATACGAATTTTTTCTCGCTCCTATGGAAACTACCCATAATTGGAAACCTGTCCTTGCATTTCACTTTAAAGCCTAAAGACGAAGTTTTTAAATACCAAATAGCTTAACAACCAGGAATATACCCAATAGAAGACTTGATTAATGCTAAATTGTTTTGATACAAGGTCCCAAGTGGGATCGCTCTTTGAGAGCAAAACCAATTTAACTTTCGTCTTCTTTCGTTTGGTAAATTTCGCTACTTTGTATTCCAATTTATGGGGTTTGTCTTTCAATCTAGAGTCCGGAGGAAATAGCTATTGCTTCACCAGGTAACTGCTCTCTTTAGCTTCCATTGCTATTGAGCACATCCAATAATCAGACTGCTTTGTTTGGGTGAAGCTCCATTGCGAATTTGATGATGCAAATATAGTTAAAACCAGATACTCCATGCTTGCTAGTACTCATGCTAAGTTTTCATGTGCATTATAAATTCTCTCGCATCACCGAACACTCCTTAATTTTTAAAATTGACCCACACTCTTTTTATACTACTTTTTCACGTCTTACCCATTTTTTTTTAAACTGCTTGAGGCTCCTATTTCTAGTTCTCTTGTTTGGGGGAGGACTTTTATTATTGGGATTGCCATTTCTTTAGGCATCTAAATAATAGAAAAGCGGAGGATTTAGCCTCTTTATTGTCATTCTTCATAATGTGCATTCCACTTTTTTCTCCCGATCTTAGACTTTGGACTATGGATAAATTAGATAACTTTTCTTGCTAATCTTTCTGTTGTGTGCCTGCGTTTATTGCGGTAGTGGCTGTAGCTCAGTTTATCAGCTATAAATGTCGAGAATATGTTTTTAAGGAGCTCCCATTGTGTTCATGTTCTTTGAGTTCCTTTCATGACTTACATTCACTTTTTGTCTTTTTGTTGTCGTAGTGGGCTTCATGAGTAAAGTTTTATGATATTTAAATAGCACTGCACAACTTTTTCTTCCAAGTAACATGTTTCCTTTTCTTGTTCTTGAGATGCACACACACATATATGTCTGCCATTCACCATTTACTTGTATATTGAGTTTTTTTCAACTCATAGTATTTCTGCAGCGGGAGATGCAAATAGCTGTAAAGCAGAAGAAACTTGGACAGCCAGTTGGTGAAACATTGCTTGGAAAAACAGTGAGCTACGTTTTCTTGGTTTTCTTTTGCAATGATTCACCTATGAATGTATATTCTTCCAGTTATGTTTCTTGTTTTTCTTTTATCTTTTCCTTTTGATTTTGATGTCCGAGGATAATTGATGAGCAAATCCTTGAATGTATGATTTGTTACCGTCTCGTGTAGAATCTTATGATTAAAAGGCATATTTGAGTTGATTATTGTGATAGAATAAACTAGTTGTACGGTAGGGATGTGCAGGCAACCAATTTTGTTTGCAAAACTGCCCGCCCTGACAAAAATAACGCGGAGAGAATAATACGATTGATTGGTTTTCTATACCTGTGATTTATTTATTCACAGGACTAGTGTGGCTCTGATTGCAGCCTCTTGGTGATGGAAGCCTGCATGATTGTTGAGGAAGTCGAGTAGAATTGGCCTAAAACAATGTGACGATTATATTCAAAACTAGATCAGAACCTACAAAAAGGAGAAAACATGCGTAGAAGGGGCAGAGAGACAAAAGTTAGTCAGAGATGCTCTCTAATTTTTCATAATAATGAAAACTTGTAATAATAAAAAGAATAGACTATCTCGAATGATAAGTAAAACATAAATACAATCTTAACACCCCCTGAAACTCAAGACTTGATGGTAACCATAAGTTCATACTCAGATCGAAATCGCATGGGTGATATATATTTTTTGTCAAAGTATTTAGTATTAGGGGTATTGTAGTCATTTTCTAGTATTATTATGGCCTATAATAGAGGGTTTCTATATCTTTAATCCTTATGCTTAGCAGTCTAATGGAGTTGTAATAATATTTTCCGTCTTTCTTTTTGTTCTCTATGTGTTTTTTAATCAAAATTTATATGATATTAAAGTGTGCTCCGATCCCCAAATTGTCCACAATTGTAGCACCTACGAGTGTCATCCCCATACATGGAACAATCTCTAGCATAGTGCCCCACTTTACCACACCTGAAGCAGTGGGTATTACCTTCTATCTGGCCACCGAAGGCTCCTGTCCCCTGTTGATTAGGTCGGGGTGTTGCAAACCCCCGTCTTTTCCCTCAAAAAGTATACCCTCTTCTGACCTGACCACGATCTTGTGATATTCCCCTTGAACCCTTAACTGATTGAGAACTATGACCCACAGGAGGAAATGATTTACTGTTACTTCCTTTCAGGTGAAATGATTTGAACCGGGTTTTCTTAAACTGCTCTCTTCGCCCTACCATTTTCTGCACATTCGTTTCAGCAATTTTCACTTTATTCCCCAACTATATGAAGCTCCTTATCTCTAAGGTAGCAACCCTTGATTGTATTGGTAGATTTACACCATTTTCAAATCTTCGACACTTGGACTCCTGTGTCGCCACCATAGTTGTAGCAAAACAAGATAAAGCAATAAACTTCCCTTCATAGTCTGACACCATCATCTTTCCCTGGATCAAATACATGAACTCTCTCTTTTTGGAACCGATAGGATGCAGGAAAATACTTCTGGTCAAATGCTTGTTTAAATTGCTCCCATGTCACCGTAATAGGAGCTGCAACCACTGGGTCGTTAGCTGGCGGTACAACTATTATCAAACTATAAGTAGCATTCCACTTTTCTGTTAGCATAAAGGTAGCCAAGTTCAATTTATACTCGTCCGTCATGGCCATCACCTTGAAAATTTGCCTCTTCAATCAATTCTCTGCATCAACCTCATTACTGGTCCCGTATATATTGCTGGATCTAACTTTTTAAACTTTTCAAACAAGGTACTCCCTGGATCTGGTCTCTGTATTGGGGAGTACTTGCAGCTGGCCCGCATACCATTTGAAAAATTGAGCCAGTTGTTCTGCAATCCTTGTAACTGCCGCATACATTGGCTTTGGTGCAACCTCACCCTCCCCTTGATCCTTCACTTGTAGTTTCAGGAACTTGTTTGTCCTTCCGATTAGAAGCAGTAGGAAACTCTCCTCACCAGGTTGTGGATTTGAAACTGGATCCATAGCACCTCTGCCCAACAGTTCGTGCCAATAAAAATGCATGTAATGTCATGATACTTAATTATGTCTTCACAAACTTTAGTATGTCCACAAGTTACTCTAGACTCCCTAGACTCAACAACACATACACATCCTTAAGTGGTGTGTACGGATCCACTGATTCCTTAAAAAAACCTCATAGACTAATGCCTTGATACCAAAATTTGTCACACCTAACCTGGTAGGGTCCCTTTGCCCTTCCCCCTTATATCTGTCATCAAGTAGTAGATAGTAATGCTGATAAATCACTTCTTGCTCAAGGATAACCAACACACATCTTTATACATACCCTTACAGAAAACTCTACATAATTTACATATCATATTAACAAAATCTCTCTCGTTATCGGATATCATTAGTACTAGCAACCTAATGTTCCTAAGTAGCTTTGTCTACATTGCATCGCTCTTTCACACGACTCTAGACTGTACAGTGGATCAACCAGAATCGTGAACACCTGTACACCAAAACCAACTGTGGGGGTGTAAGCTTTTCCACATGTTTAGTGAGTCTACTAGCATCATATAATTAGGGAACAGTAAAACAAGTATGGATCATGCTTTGAGCAGTAAACAGTCCCCACCTCACCTTAGATAAATATTTGTTAACGAAACATAGAAGATAAGTTGCTATTAAAAGATACTTCTTGACAAAGTACACCTCTCTCTTACAAAATATAATTAAATTCCACCCATTTCATTCATAGTCGGGGGTCGGTCTTCCCACGACTAGGTTCAGACTGTACCATAACTTCACATCTCAATTCAATTCATTGATATCGAACGAGTGGAGGATCATTCATTATCCTAATGGTAGGGGTACACCAACTTGCCTGCTGATTTTACCCCGAATGACAAGTAATCACCTCACCAAAATCACCCGTATAACAAGACTGATGTGAATGATAAAACCTCACCATTTTAAGGAACCCTTTTTTAGAAAATAATCATGATCCATACCACAATTCACCATTTACAAACACCATTTAAGGAAATTCACTAACTAGCAACAATTATACTCATAAACCATATATATACTAGTAATTTAGTTGCCAAATTATATAACATAGTATACTCACCTTCAACACCCCACACCAAGTCACTTCTGGTTTATGACTAGCGACGCAAGTTGACTCTGTCCAGTCTGCACCTAAGATAACATATCCCATGATGCTAGTAAATATCACCTCCAAACATGGTGAGTTAGATGCATGTATGCTTGATCTCTATATTCAATCTTTTTACACATTTAGTCAATTAATTCCACTACCTAGAGCTTCAATCTAATTAAAAGAAACATTAATGAGTAGTTATGCCTCTTCACTGTACCCAAACAAACTGGTACTAGGTTAAGTCAATAAAACATGTTTAACTAATATGAATTGCTATAACACGTCACTAACAAGAAAACCATACCTACTAGTTGTTCATCGTGAACCCACCTTCCTCCTTTCTTGCCTTCTTCTTGCTTGTTGTTTGTTTTTATTAATTCTCTCACCCTAGCTGTAAATATTTTCATCCATTTGCTAATCCTTCACCATGCAAATGAACTGTATATAGACAAGTCCCACCCTTATGACCTATCTAGTCATCGTAGGACACCAACCACCCTTGCGCACTTTACACCTAGCTAATTGGACACCTAGCACCCTAACATGCTTGACACCTAGCTAGTTGGACACCAAACTCCCTTGCATGGTTGCTACCTAATGAGATACCAACCACCCTTGTAAGCTTGACACCTAGTGAGACACCAAGAACCTTTCCCCCCTCGACACCTAACCATGACAAGGATTCATCATTTTTAGACACCTAGCATGCTTCTCGTCTTGACACCTATCTACGATAAGAACTTTTAAATATATTGTTTAACTAGATTACTATAATATAATTGCATAAAAACCCTATAACCTTTAAATGCATCTTCCTTACATGTTTTGGGTTTCACAAGTATAATTAGCATGACTCTGTTTATACCTAAATTTCAGCATACCTTTAAGAAACCTATCAAACCAAGTTCTGGGAGATTGCTTCAATCCATATAGGGACTTCTTCAAGTTACACACTTTCCTTTCCGTTATCGGAGATGGAAAACTTGGAGGAATTTCCATGTACATCTCCTCCTTCAAGTCTCCATGTAGAAAGATATTCTTTACATCCAATTGTTACAAACTCTATCTCAAATTAGTGGTACAAGAGATAAGAGCACGTATTCATCTTTGCCACTGGAACAAAAGTCTCATAATAATCAATATCATATGTCTGAGTAAATCCCTTAGCAACTAGCCTAGCTTTGTGCCTCTCAACAGTCCCATCATCTTGTTGTTTGATTGTAAACACCCATCTACACCCTACTGCCCTTACTCCAGGAAGAATAGGAACTAATTCAAATGTGTTATTTTTTTTCGAGACTTTCATTTCCTCTACCATAACTTCTCTCTACTTAGAATCAGTAAGAACTTCTTTTCAATCCTAAGAAATGGACATAGAAGACGAGGAGAAAACAAAAGAGATAGGATGAAGACAGGGAATCATAAGAGACAAAATTAGAGATAAGATGTTGAGTACAAGCTCGAACACCATTACTTATTGCAATAGGAAGATTAGAGTTGTCAATAATTGGATTATCAATAAAAAAAGAGTAACATTTGGAGGCTCATTACCTTATAAATTAGTGGAGGATGGCACTGGAGTTGAGAAATCCGACTGATGTGGGGGCACATAGGTAATCTGTACTTTTTGAGGCCAATAATCAGTCTTCAGATTATCCTAGTGAAGATGAACACCATGTAGGTTCCTACCATCACCTTTTTTCTCCATAAGTTGCTCTCCCGACTAACATTCCATTGAACAGGCAACTGGCAAAATATCTCTTCCCCAATAGTGATATTCCTCCCCTTAAAGAGATGTTTTAGTAATAGAGAAGTAAGACTCAAATTCACAAAAGGTAACATTCATGCTAACATATATTTTCTGTGACTGTGGAAGATAATATTTATATTCCTTTTGGGTGGCAGAGTAACCAACAAAAAACGCATCATAGAGCCTAGGGTTCAAGTTTTCCCCTAGAGGGTCTATGAACATGTACAAAACAAACATACCCAAAAACTTTAGGGGAAAAGGAAGATATAGAAGGAATAGAAAAAGACTAAGAAAGATACTCGATAGGAGACTTAAACTGAAAGACACTCGAGGGTAGACAATTAATAAGATAAGTAGCAATAAGAACTGCAATCTCCCCCCCCTCCCCCAAAAAAAAGAAAGAAAGATGGAGGAGCATTCATAGTGAATATTAATGAACGAGCAACCTCAAGAAGATGATGATTTTTTTGCTCAGCAACACTATTTTACTCGGGGGTACTCACATAAGTGGTTTGATACAGAATACTATTTTCATTTAGATATGAATGAAAATTTTCATCAATATACTTAGTTCCATTATCACTTCGAAGAATTTGGACTTTGTCATCAAACTAAGTACTCACCATTTTTTGGAAAGATCTAAAGCATGAGAAAACTTCACCTTTATTGCATAGTAGATAAACCCAAGTAAGACAAGAAAAACAATCAATAAAGATAATAAACCTATAATAAGTAGAAGTAAATACGACATGAGAAGGGCTCCACATATCTGAAAGAATAATGAGAAAAGGTGCAGTACTTCTATGGTTAGTACTAGGATAAGATGAACGTTTATGCTTGGTAAATTCACAAGCGTCACAAACTATAGATTGTCTATTACACTGTTTCACTAAATTAGAAAAAAGATGCTCTAAAATGCTAAATGATGGATGTCCCAAATGTCTACGCTATTGATGTAAGAGCTGAAGGTTTGAAACACCATTTGCTTGGAGAGCTTGACAGATAGATTGAGAGGAAGCTTTAGCATCCAAGAGGTACAAACGACCATAGGTTGGATCCAACACTGTACTTAGGGTTACCACGGGTTGGCATCCGGGAACTGTTCCCTAAGACGATCCAGTGAAGGTCACCAGGACGCACCAGGAATTGTTCCTTCAACCGTTGAGTACTAGGGTCACCCGCATAAAGAGGAATAATTTTTCTGGACTTTAGTCTTGGTCCCATTCACTATCACTAAGTCTCACCATATAAACAAGTGATTTGAGTCATAATACTTCACAAAAGAATTCATCAAGGTAAGGAGAATCATATGCCACGAATATTTACACTTAGTAAAACATTTTGTAAAGGTAGTAATGAACAAGCATGATGTATTGTTTTTAAAATGTTTAAGGATACGGGGAGTTTTCGAAAATACGTAGCATGCCAAACAACTCACCTCAAGTCCAAATGATATACTTCTTGAGTGTTGCTTGTTACCCGAAATAGAGTGAGATGTTATCGATGCCTTTCCTCTTTCTCTCACAATTTTCTTTCTACTTTGATAGGTGCTCTTTCTTCTTCTTTCTCTATTCTTTCTTGAAGGTGGAAGACTACTTGTGCACTTGTATGCTTAATCTAATCCCCAAATGCCTTATTTATAGGCATCCTAAGATTATTCTAGAGAATATTGACATGTGACATTTTTAGGGGAGATTCCTTAGAGTATTCTACCATCTCCCCTCTTTTAGATCGTTCTAGGTTTCAAGCTTATTTTGCACATGACAATTCCACAAGTATCTAGATTCATCTATGATATTTTAAAGTCTTTTCCAACCTTCTAAGTCCTTCCGGAACTTTCTAAATTCCTCTAGAATTTCTAATATTTTTTAGAACCTTCTAAAATATTTTAGACTTATCTAGATTGTTCTAGAACTTTCCGGATTCTTCTAGATCCTTCAAAAACTCTCTTTTAAGAATTATTATTTATTTATTTACTAACATTTTATATTGAAGAGACCTTTCAACATAATAGTTCAAGTTTAAGAATATTCACAATATAAAACTCTATGTTATAACTACTAGACACTCAAGGATGGGTCAGGATATTATAGTCATCTTCCTAGACAATTCACAAGAAAGACCTTCACATCTTGACCCATAGAGCATTTGAAAAAGAGAAAATTTTTTTGGCTTAGTGGTAGCTCTAATTATCAAAGAAGTCTTTCAGAGTCCTTTGGAATCTAAGGACGATCTTTTGTTTGATTTTAATAGTCTATTAAGAGAGTTCCACGATGTGATCCCTGAGGAACTACCCGATGAGTTACCACCTATGACAGATGTTCAGCATGCTATTGATTTAGTTCCAGGCTCTCAGTTGCCTAATCTTCTCCATCATCATATGAATCCCACTGAACGTGCTGATCTCCAAAGGCAAATACATGGACTTTTACAAAAGGGGTTTGTTCGTCATAGTCTTAGTCCATGTACTATCCCTACTTTGTTGACCCCTAAGAAAGATGGCTCTTGGAGAATGCGTGTTGATAGCCGTGCCATTAACAAAATTACAGTCAAGTATCAATTTTCTATACTGAGACTTGAAGATATGCTTGACTTTTTGGCCGGTGCACTTTGGTTCTTCAAAATAGATTTGCACAGTGGTTATCATCAAATCCGAATTAGACTAGGAGATGAATGAAAAATCGCCTTTAAAATCTAGGATGGACTTTATGAGTGGTTGGTCAGCCTTTTAGATTGTCTAATGCACCTAGCACATTTATGAGGGTTATAACTCAGATATTGCGTCATTTCCTAAGAAAATTTGTGGTGGTCTATTTTGATGACATCTTGATATACAGTCAGGTCTAAAGAAGAGCACTTGGATCATCTTTGACAAGTTTTTCAGACATTATGTGTGAAAAAATTTTCTGCAAACCTTAAGAAGTGTTCCTTTATGCAAACTCAAGTACTTTTTCTTAGATTTGTTATTTCTGCGCATGGTATTGCAGTTGACCCAGATAAAATTCGTGCTATTAGGAATTGGCCAGTGCCAAGAACAATTTTTGAGGTTCGAAGTTTTCATAGTTTGACCACTTTTTATAAACGATTTATTAAGGGGTTTACTTTCATTATGGTTCCCATCACAGAGTGCATGAAAAAAGGGGAGTTTTAATGGACTTTTGCTGCAACTAGAGCCTTCAAGAAGTTAAGCACAAGATGACAGAGGTACTCATTTTTTGACACCCAGATTTTTCTAAGGTGTTTGAGGTTGCCTGTGATGCATCTGGTGTAGGGATAGGTGGAGTTTTGAATCAAGAGGGTTATCCTA